GGGGGGCTGTATGCAAATGAGGCTTTGTTGCCGTTTTGCTGTTGTGAGAGCCTCAAAGATAAGCATAAAAAAAAGTGGATCAAGGAAGGACATGTGAAGAGGTTGATGTCTTTACTTGTATTGATGCACATGGACAAACGATGTGGGGGGGCGGGGCAATTCACCAAGAAGACAGCGTTATATTTATGAGTAACATTATAGTAACAAAATCGAAAATGCATAACGTGCCTCTTATCCGGGGAAACAAACAGAGTGCGCTAAAACTCTTTTTCCATTTTCAAACATTTGTGAAAACGCTCCATGGAGCCACTAGGGCGGCGCTAAAGAGCCGCATGCAGGTTGCAGACCGCCGCCCCAAACACATAAATGGCTACTGGTAGTAGTGACCAGATTACGAAGGGGATTTCGAGCGACAGAGCTGTCGCGGATCACCACCCGCCTCCACCACACGTCCCGACAGCGCCCGCGGCCTGAGCCACTGACCGTCTGCTGACCTTCGCCTCCATCGCTCTCTCTACCTTTCTCTCTCTCTCTCTCTGGCTGTCTCTCACCCAAAGATGTCACATGGGCAGCTCGCGGCCACTCTCAGGGAGAGCGTGTGCACTCGGCGTGATGAATGATGATGTGGCTCCAGTCTTAACGGGTCAGATAAGGGACAAGAAATATTAAAAGCTCCCGCTGACGCAGGTGAATGTGACATCAGTACTCGAAAAAGATATGTCAACCCTCTTGATGATGTTTTTTTTTTTGTTGTTGTTGTTTTTGCGCACTACAAATTTTTATCAAGCCATTATACGGGGCCACATGATTCACCCGGAAATTCATAAAATTAAAAGAAGAAAAACAATGTTCAGTCATCTGTCTATCTATCTCCACGTATATAACGTATTTTCCGCACTATAAGGCGCACCTAAAAGCATTCAATTTTTTGAAAAGCCGACAGTGCGCCTTGTAATCCGATGCACCTTATATATGGATCGATAGTCCGGTTTCTTGGACGTAGTATTTTAAATGGTCCGTAAAGTGCTTTGTTACAGCTGCAGCGGTTGTGAAAGCGCGATATAAATGAAGCTGTATTGTCTTATATTCCCTTTGGTGCAGCTCCATCTAGTGGATGCATAAAGCAATCGCAGCCACTATTATAGCTTCTATTCGATGCGCCTTATAATGCGGTGCGCCTTCTATGAAGCAGTTTTAAAACAGGCCATTCATTGAATGTGCGCCTTATACGCCGACGCACCTTATAGTGGGGAAAATACGGTATATATACGTGGGGTGTAACGAAGAATTCCCTTCATCCGTCTATTAGTGTTGCGGCCGTCCTCTCCGAATTGCTTTAAAATACAGTACACCAACTAATTAATCGATCTCAACGAAACAATCAAAACGTTATAAATCACTTTGACAGTGATGATGATTTTTTTTTGTTTCGTTGTACGCAATCAATTTGGATAGTTTGGCTTTAGAGTTTAGGACAAGGTCACAGGTTCTACAAGCGTACTATCATCACATTACATCACACGTTTTGATTTCCTCAAGGAGACCTTGACGCTGGGACTGCAGCCCGAGGGAGACCATAATGAAAAACCAGCGCGGTGGCGGCGGGCTCGGTCGGCCGGCGTTTGCGTTGACGATTAGCCTCGCTCGCGCCATTGTGGCCGCGACAAAGCCGCCGATTTACGAGGCCCACCGATTGCGGGAGAGACACCCCAAGCCGGCTGGGACGTGACGAGCATTACGAGTGTCGAGTATTGCAGAAGGAAATTCACCCGTAGGCAGTTTTTATCTCCCATCTGCCTGCGGGACGGAGGTGCACATACAGACATGACTTAAACTTGTTTTGTTTTGTTTTGTTTTTTTAAACGTCCGGAAGAGCAGGTTCAGCAGCATTTTGCGCCAGGTGAAACCTTTGCATTCGTTGAATTGAGGCCTACACGTTTATACAGAAGAAAGATTGACAAGAATCAAAGAAGTTGTAAACCGTGTAGTCGAAAAAGGGGGAATACGGTGCGGAAAAAAGAAGCCAATTACAGTAAAAAAAAAAAATTAAGACATGAGGACACCACAATTGAGACAGCGGACAAAAAGACAGCATTGGCTCACATTTTATCTTGATGTTGCTGCTTGTTTTCTAATATTGTTCTTTTTCCAACATTTTTTTTCCTTTACCCCCCTAAATCACCCCCCTCAACAATGCGGTAAGAGGAGGACTGACACTTGACTGATTGGCCTTTTTTTAGCCAGCAGTTTCCATGTTCCCGGGAAACCAAGCACCCTTGTTTTTGTTTTTCTTGCTTAAACTGGCGCACTTACACAATTAAGTCTGTTCTTAGAGTTCTTGGAGCCAGGCTGCATTTCCCCCACACCCCAAAAAAAAGAAATCTTTGAAAAGACCCTTTCCCTTAACATGACGGCCTCACTGCAGTGCAGCTTGCCGGCAAAGGGAAAACAAAACAAAAGGGTGACTTTGGTCAAATTGGCTCAGCGCCGTTGCCACATTCAGAAGGAGCGTTGAGTGCATCAGCGGAGGGGAAAACAGCGGAGCTGGAGAAAGCACTATTTTATTTACACGTGTCAATTAGCGGAGACCGTGAAGGCGGATCAACGTGGAGAAGATATGATGTCTGTTTTGTTTCATAAATAACAACCATTGTATTTTGTTGTAATCTTTTTGTCCACTTCACATATCTTTGATGTAATATTTTTGTATTTTTTTTAATCAAATATGCATTTCTTTTTTTTTACCTAATATTTGGGTATTTCTGGGTTTTTGTTCACATTACTTTTCTTTTTTTTTTTGACTAATTTAGTTTTCTATCATATTTTTAATGTCATAATTTTTCTTTTTTTTTCAATCACGTTGTATCACTAACCGAATAATGTATTAATAATTTTGTTGCAGTATTTATTGTCTCTTTTTCCCCCTGGTAGTTGTGCATTCTTTGTCCATATTTGTTATTTTGAAATATTAGAAATATATAATATTATATTTTTAATAGTCAACTGTTCAGATGTTAACACTGATGATGCTCACTACTACAAATTGCTCACCAGCAATTATCTTTATCTGGAAAAAAAAACAAAAAAGTCTTTCGGATAAGTATAAAAAGTGTCATATATAATGTTTAAATTTGCTGTCAAGTGGCGACGTTCCCAAAGCCATTGTGCAACCTAAGAGATTTATAGTGCTTATCCTCTGCAGAGACGAGACGGAGCTGCCGCAGTCAATCGCAACTGACGGACTGGCTACTTCCCGGACACGTTTCAGCACTTCGCTGGCATCGTGAATGCAAGAAGACCGCGACATCTTGACTGCATCATTGAGATGGCTGGGAATAAATTTAACTGGAGCTGAATGCGAACATCACGGCAGTAGGTGGGTGAGGAGACCGGTTTCACAAGTCCAAATGGACACAATGAGAGCGACCGCTGTTCTTCGAGAACAATGCCTTTCCCTGTGTAGAAAAGTGAAAGACTGAAGACGACACGTAATGCATGTTTGCGTACTGACTGATGTCCAACAACACATTCAAAGTCTGAATACAAAGCAGATTCGTGGCAAGCAAAACCACAGTTTCCGTTGGCGTTGCTCAATTTGATGATTTCATCCCAGGGGAACGGCTTAATAACATTTTATGCGCAAGATAGGGATTCCCTTGCGTTCTTGGTCTTGCGGAAATTGTTTTTCTTGTCCGATGAACATCTGGGAACTGTGAGAAAATGACTTTGCTTTTCACTGCAGGCGTCCTGCTTTTTCTATAGACCCTTAGCACACTGTTAGTTAGCTGACTTGCTCATCAGCTTCGACTTTAATTAGCATGGTAGCAGACTCGCGGTTAGGTGAAATGCAAGTCATTAGCCTCAACTTAATCTAAACATGAGTAGCTAGATGCTAATGTATTTATTCAATGAGCTGCATCTCGTGAGCGTGGAGTTGTAGCAGGCAAATAGCTGGCATGCAAGTCGTTAGCCGAGACTTTAGCTGGTGATCTGTTTTTTTTTAACCAAGAAAACATTAGCGGTACAAAAACAGGCTAGTTTATCTACGTCAAACGAGCGTTATCCATCGCAGATTAGTAGTTTGGCAACATGCGCGCCATTAGCCTTTTAATTTCTACGTTAGTCGTTAGCCATAAAGCGATTTTAGCTGTCGGCCAAAATGCTAATTAGCACACTACTTTAGCTGTTTCTAAAAAAATCATTAGCATATTATTCCAATTTAGCCAACACTTCAGCTCCTGCTGACAATAAATAATCTTTAGCTCCGTTAATTAGCAGATGTGCTACTTGAGCCGCTAGTAACAAGCATGGATGAATAATTAAATGAGCCTGGTTTTTTTTGGCCGTTTCTACCTAACATGGACCTTTAATCAGACTACAAACTTGCTTTCATGAATATTTAGATGCTAATTTAGCTGCTCATGTCAAGCATGGATCCTGTATAAGCCCTTGTGGTGATGTACAACGCTAGTGTAGCTGCTAGTTTTGTAACATTTTGGATTTGCCAAGCTTTGATAAGCAGTAAACACGATAAAAGCTGTCAGTAACATAGCGTATCAGAAGCCACTGTGTCACATTTATGTATGTAGTATGACGTGGCTGCTAAGATAGCTATGTTTACTCTCAAAGGTTCAAGATAAAAAAAAAAAAGTGTGCAATGCAAAGGAATGCCGCAACACTTCTACTGTATCCCTATTTTACTGAAGGTGATAACTGAGAAATCTTATTTGTGCCTTGCATGGTCAGAGGGAGGGCTTGTGTAACATTTAAGAGGGCATGCTCTCTTCATGCAAGGACTGCAAACGAGCACTTGGTCCAAGTCGAAAAGCAAGTTCTGAATATTGACCATAGCCCCACCCGGAATGCTTTCTTTCTGAAGCCTTACAGAGGCACTAAAAGGGCATTGGAGTGCATTCGCATTAACTTGACTCCAGCTGCTGACTGATGCTAATGCGCAACTCATCTACGCCGGAAGGTTCCGCCCAAGTTTCATCACGTCCAGTTGTCATCATCATATAAAAACTTCAACGCCGCGAGCTCTGCATTCAAGAGAATCAATAAAACAACCTCAATGGGACATGGGTGAAAACTTCCAGATAAAATAACTGCAATTCCCTACAAAAAAAAACAAAAAAAATTGAAAATGATTTACTTGACGGCTATTACGATTCTTAATACATCATACACATGAAAAACCGCAACGTCGAGGAACTACAATGAAAAGTAATTGGTAGCCCACTTGTTAAGTACTTCCTGTAAACGACACTAGCGCCAAGCCGTTTACGAGTTAGCTTTAAATCTGTTCATGGTGTTTATCATGATTAACGTTACAGAATGTATATTGTTGACACATACAGGAGTATGCGGAGCAAAATGCTACGCTAGCATTAGCATGCGCGTTCATTTTTTTATGATTTGCAGAAAATGTGGAAATGACAAATAACAAATCTGCTGGACCAGGCAGTGGAAACAGAAAAATTAGAAAGAGTAAACAAAACACGATGCAGAGTTAAGGCAGAGCAAAATGCTACACTAACATTAGCATACGTGTGACCACACGAACCCCTCGACCTCCCTTTAAATTGTCACAGGTCAGGATCACATCTCACGTGTTGCTTTGATATTGCGACCTGACCCATATCACCAACATCTCTTCAATGACCTCCGCCAAGGCGCTACGCGACTGCGCTTCACGGCCACTCGTTGATACATTATTTATTTTGAACACGCCACGGCGCTGAGACATTTCACACGGAGAGCCCGGCGCAAACGTCCACGTGGCAAATGTCGGGCTGAAGCTACTGAAACAATGCACCGAAACCGCAAAAACTAGCTCAATTAGCATGTACGTTCATTAGCTCGCGCAACTTTTAGCATAGACGAGTTCTATTCGCATACACAATCATTCACACAGCCTAAAAAGTGCTTATTACTAGCGATGAGCTTAAATTACTTCAAGACATGATTAATCGACCGTCAGTTCCAAACATTCGACAATAGTTAACCATCGATTCACTGACTATTGTGTTCCGGATAATTTGCCCGGCGAAAACACACACATGTGCTATAGATCTTATCTCATCTAGTCAGGCCGTAATATCGGAGTATGTCAACAAAAACACACATCAGCACATTGCGCCGTTAAACCATTCACAAATCTGTCGGTACTGCTATGAAGCTCAAAGTCATGTGACCTCACAAACACTCCAAGGAAACGGTCACGTTGGCCGGTTGGCTATTAAAAACGGATCCACGCGAAAGCACTTGACGGCATCTCCACGTGCTTTTAAAAAGGGTCAAATAAATGAGAACATTTTCCACCGAAATTTTAAATTGTCCCGCTACCTGTTCTAAATCTGTAACACGACCCGACTGTGAAAGATTTATTGCGTGCTGGACTTGCCTCGTAGAGTTACCTTAAACTTTGAACTCAACAAAACGGGAGTCTTCAAACAACCGTTGCTAAAATGCTAACATGTGAAGCTCAAAGCCACGTGACCGCACAAACACTCCAAGGAAACGGTCACGTTGACCGGTTGGCTATTAAAAACGGATCCACGCGAAAGCACTTGACGGCATCTCCACGTGCTTTTAAAAAGGGTCAAATAAATGAGAACATTTTCCACCGAAATTTTAAATTGTCCCGCTACCTGTTCTAAATCTGTAACACGACCCGACTGTGAAAGATTTATTGCATGTTACCTTAAACTTTGAACTCAACAAAACAGGAGTCTTCAAACAACCGTTGCTAAAATGCTAACATATAATCAGGTACAACCTGACCAAGCATTAAAAAAAAAATGCGAAGAACAGATCCGATTTTGACACATTTTGTGAGTCACTTGAGCGAATGTCGCCATTCCGAAAGATTCAGGTGACTCAACCGTGCATGATTTCCCGTCTGGCTCCATTAAAAGTGAGACTTCCCCTGGCTGCTTTTGACTACTTCAAAAGAAGGATTGGAGGAGGACTGAGCCAGCGCAGGGAACCGAACCACGTGACGGCGTGTTTATTTAAATGCCCGAGCGAGCTCAATCCCGAATCAAGTGGCGTCTATTGCGAACTTTGACACAGTGACTTCTTTACACGGCATGTGAGTTACACTGAACCTGCTGGATGATACGCTCAAGGAAGCGTGCTTGACATGATCAAGTGCATGTACTCCGGGGCTTCTTTTTTATTCCATTTCCTTGTCACTTGTTGCCAGGCAGAATATGGCTTTCCATAAACATCAAAAACTTGATGTTGGGAGTAGATTTCTGACCTGAATCAAATAATAGCAGTCATTTAGGGCATTGTCTAGCCGTGTTTAGCGAATGCATCGCAACTCTTATCGATAGCCGGCTGCAGCGGGGGTTAATGGAATCACTAAAGTTAAGTAATCAATGGGTGGAACAACGCTCGGGTGGGGTTGCGAAATAGCTTGAGCGGCCTTTTTCTTCCGTGGACGTGCAAAGTCAGAAGAGTGCGAGCCGGAGATAAGCTTCACGGTGAAAGTCTTGGCGTTATCACAAGCGGCTAGCGGCTGCGGCCCCCTGCCCAATCACGGACTCAATGCCGTGACTTGCGGCCATCGGGCAGGCGCCGAGTGAATTTGCGCTTGTTTTTTTTGTTACGTTTGTTCAACAAAGCACTGAAAATTTACCAACACCTGTGTCTGCTCTTCTAGGGGTGGAGGAATTACCGTTTCATTCTAACTAGCTGTGGACATTCTCTGTTTTTTTCTTGCACTGCAGGAACAGTCCATGTGGGAAAAAAAATCACCGTACGTTAACACGATATAGTGAATAATCAGCGATACAGTGAAGGCGCATAACATGAACCGTGATATACAAAGAAATGACTGTACATGTTTTTGTAAACAATGAAGACAAATGAGAGTTTGTCACAAATTCACGATGGAGAGTTTTGTGTCACTGAACATTGTCAAAATATGAGAAACAGCTCAAGGTTTGATACTGGACAATTGCATATCACTGCAAACTCCAACCACAATAACAAACAGGGTTGAATTACAAACGCTGACAGCGCCACTCAAAAGTGGACGTTACTTGCTAGAATGTATTGAGACAGTGCAGGGGTACCTAATAAAGTGTCCAATGTTGTGTGACTGAACGCATGTAACTTGAAAAGGTGGTGAGTGATTTGGAGTCGGCAAAGTTACCGGACTCAATGCCGTGACTTGCGGCCATCGGGCAGGCGTCGAGTGAATTTGCGCTTGTTTATTTTGTTACATTTGTTCAACAAAGCGACTGAAAATTTACCAACACCTGTGTCTGCTCTTCTAGGGGTGGAGGAATTACCGTTTCATTCTAACTAGCTGTGGACATTCTCTGTTTTTTTCGTGCACTGCAGGAACAGTCCATGTGGAAAAAAAAATAATCACCGTACGTTAACACGATATAGTGAATAATCAGCGATACAGTGAAGGTGCATAACATGAACCGTGATATACAAAGAAATGACTGTACATGTTTTGGTAAACAATGAAGACAAATGAGAGTTTGTCACAAATTCACGATGGAGAGTTTTGTGTCACTGAACATTGTCAAAATATGAGAAACAGCTCAAGGTTTGATACTGGACAATTGCATATCACTGCAAACTCCAACCACAATAACAAACACTCCACAACCAACCTGCTCTTTGCGCTTCTGCCATCGTCCACAGGGGCTTTCCTCCAGGATCTCGCTCTCATCCTCGCTCTCCTCCTCCTTCCCCTCCGATCCCGATTTCCTCTCCGGGACGGACATCGTCATCTTCACGCCGTTTACTGTTGACAGATTTCAGCCCCCTTCCTCCACCAGGAGGCCACCCTCCTTCCACTCCTACTCCTCCCCCTCCTCGTCCTCCTCCTCCTCCCACGGGACGACGTTTTTCCTCGGCCGGCGTTTCGCTGTCTAAGTCGGTGTTGATAAAGGCTTACAACAAGCTTCCCGGTTGGGATAGACGCCACACCCCCCTTGTGGGGGAGAGAAAAAAAAGCAGACACACTGGAAGGAATAATTCGGAAAACTCGCTTCTTAGCTTCCCGGGGACGGTTCGAGCGAGACGGTGAAACGCGCAGAGCAATCACGGGGAGGCGGTGGTCGCATGGTTGTCCGGTTTTTATGGACGATAGTTAATGTTCCGCGTCATCCTCCGAGTGGAGGAGTCTGTGCGCGTGTGTGAGCTGTTTGCGTTCAAAGCCGACCAAGAAGCACCTAGGGGAGCACATTTACCGTAATGGCGTTGAACACAGAGCCGCGCAAAATGCGAGAAGCTCAAAAGCACCTGGAAGGCGGAAGGGAAACATCCGGGTACTGTAGATCGGCGGAAGTTGTACATCCGTGTAATTTGCATGTAAAATATCACTTTTTTTCATTTTTGACCACTGAGCGAACCATCATTACAGACACTTTTTTTCACACGAAATTGAGATTAACTGTGTCTCACTGTGAGTCAAAAGCTAAATAAAATGGCCAATGGTAAAGTAGTAATAGATATTTCTATAGAGCCCTCTTATTGGTTGCGAAATGGTGACAAACCATACTGACAGCGTCCTCGCATTTACACTTTTTTCAAACACCTAATCTTCAACCATTAATTTTAAAGCTCATGTTGTTTGATATGAAATTAATGTGTTTGGGAATATATTTGGGTTTAAACCATTACTATAGGGAACATAAAAAATTGGGAAAGGTGATTCACATTTGTTTCTCTTCATGACGGGTCGTGTGATTAGGCGAAAAGAAGAGAATGCTAACCACCAAAGCTCTCGTTGTGTCATGTCACCTCATACCACACTCACGGGGGATACGTTAAGCATTTTGAAATAATTTACTACCGTGAAATCCCAAACCTTCATTATATTATTGAGCAACAAGCAGAAACATTGCGGTAATTGGTTGAGTCAACATGAGGCTGTTACGATTCTATTCTGCCCTCTAGTGGTCTTTGTGGTAAAACACCCATGGAGGATGGTGCTACTGTACCCTGCTGTAGTGTTTTTTTTTTCATTTGATGTAATGTAATGTATTTATTTTATAATGCACTTGTTTATATTACAATTTAATATAGTCATGTATTAAGTTTATTCAAGCACATTTTAGTTGATTTTGTTCAACTATACTTTCCTTATTGAATTTTATTGAACATTTTGTGATATTTTGTATGTAACTAAATCTTATTGTATTGTATTATACGTAGAGCCAGTGTGTGACGTTTGTACTATAATTGCTGCTTTTCACTATAACCACTTATGCAATATTCAAGGTGTTCATTTCACAATTTTTTTGGTTGCGGTGTTTAATAAGGACTGAGAGCTGCAGACTCTTGTTGGTCAGTGAGCCGTAATCACACACGCGTGTTGTAATCACTCTCTCTCTATATTTAGCACCTCTATTTATATATATATAGGGAGGCTCCCGCTTTGCCAGTCTGCCATAAGGAGATTTTCTCGGTGCAAGGCAGCACGATGCACAATGCAGGCTTCCGCACCGGTGGGGTGACGAGGCGGGCGGGGGTTAATAAAGTGTGAAGTGTGCAGATAACAAGAAGGCATATTGGCCAGCCTTTTTGATTGGGTGAATGTCATTTTTAATGTAGCAGGATTACATTTTGCACACACAAAAAAAGGCTTAAGTGTGATTATAAAAGTTGTTTCACTTGTACAAAGGTGAGCATGAAAGCAAGCTACCTTTTCAGTCAACTATGGAGCTCTTGTTTTTTTTTGAGCACTTTTAATCCATTTGCACTGCTAAAAGTGTCAGACCTCCGGTGTTGTAGTTCATTTGTTTGCAGTGCTCCGTCCTGGTCGTCACCATGGTCTGAAATTTCAGAAGAAAATTAATTTTTGGATCTCTCAATGGCTGAGTCCGATGTAGGCATGTGTGTCTTCTTTTTAAATCAGAACTCCTTTGAAACACCTGGGGTTCTCAAAAATATTTAGGATTTAAAAAGCATATACCGGTACTTAAATGAAGTACCATACCTCAGTGAGTCTTGGCCTCTGGATGCAGTGAACATAAGGTGTGGGATCCGGTCTGATCTGGTCTCCCTCCGTCTTGTAACAGACCGCGCAGTCCATGAGAGGCTACAATGACGGCATAAATGTATAACAATTAATATTATGTTGCTCAACAATATATTCCCAGCCACTATTGATATGATGGGCTCACTCTGTCGTTCCTGAATGGGCATCTCTTATTCCTCGAAGTCGGTCCTTTGGCACATCGGGTAGGCTTCAGTTGAAAGTGGTGGTAGTAGTATTTCACATCAAAGCCACTCTGCATTGAAATGCAAATCAGAGATACTTGATTAAGGCGTAATGTGTGACGTGGTTTTGTATAGGTTGTCTCTCGATGTGTTGCTGCACCATTTGTGTATTTGTAGTTATTTATGACTGCCGCGGCATCAATGCTAGCTTCGTCAAACCATCTATGGCATTTTACATTAGCATTAGGGAATAATCGGGTTGAATATGTACGTTATAACCCTATAAAAATATATTTTGACCTTTCTACACGGTGAATAAATATATTTCTCTTTAAAGTTCGCTATAAAATGTTTAGAATCCACTCGGAACAAACATGTTTTCACGTTGCGTTCATGTACCCTTGTTCATTCCAATAGTCGACTTGGGTTCTATCAGATGTAATCAGATGGGAGTGATAAGGGTGTATTTGAGCAATAATTTCAACATTAATATATCCTAAAGTAATTAGCCAGAAATCCAATATTTGCTTTTAGATTGATTGAATGTAATGTCAAACACCCAAAGTTGAAGTTGGTGCTAGGATGAACAAGGATCCTTGAATGCACCGCAGCTCAAACGCTGCTGCTCTAGTTTTTATGGTCCCGACTCACAGTACAGTCCAGTTCTAAATTAATTTTGTTCTGCCCACTTTTATCGCTTAGTTTATGAAAGTTCCATTAAGGGTACCCTTGTGAATACTAAGATCCAACTTTGAATCTTAAAATCTGTTATCGAAAGAGAAATGTGTGTTTAATGTTTAAAAACATGCAGAGGGGACCTGTGACGAACAGGTAGTTTGCTGTTAAAATGGACATTTAAAAACCAAGTGACGCCAGAATGAACAAACGAGATATACAGTACCATGATAACCCTTTTTGAGTCACTATATACGTTTTGGGTTTTTTTTTTAAGCAAGGATGGCCTCCAGAGCAAGGCCCTGGGGGTTACCTCGGCGTCTGACTTTTCCAAACTCCTCAGGAAGCGAAAATGGTGCTGCACGCCCGCGTGAGAGTTGAGATGCACCAAGGCCAGGTCCACGCCTTTCTTATAGTCCGCCGGGAGCAGGTCGTAAGCGTCCTGGGCTTCAGCCGACCGCCACACGGCTCCCCCGACGCAGGCCACCAGCAGCAACAACACCGCCATCTTACTGGAGAGTCCAACCGAGTACAACGAAGGGTGAACGAACTTTTGTGTCTATCTGATGGGTCAAACAAATCCTGGACTCAATAGAGCAGCTCCCACGCCAACATTTTTTCTCTCTCTTCCTGGAAACCCACCACCCCCATCCTCCTCCCCAGGAGAGCAAGTCTTGACAAAAACAAGCTCTGAAAACAGGCAGCTGCATGACAAACGCTTTTGTTGTGACACATTTGGATGACTAATCCAAGACCATCATCCCATAAAGACAGCTCCAAACTAATCAGAAGGTCAGAAGGAGAGAATGAACCATTTACGATGCACTGTACAAAACAAACTACAAAAATTGGCGGTTGATTCAAATGTGTTTCATGAATTTTGTTATTATCAAGAAGAAACAACGCATCACCTCAAAGCAGAAGACAAAAACGCTCTTTTTTGGGAGAACAGTACGAGTGAGAGCGCCTCATTTCCTCCAAGTGATGTTATCGGACGTTCTCCCATTTGTTGATAAAAGATATGCAACCATTTTAAACCTTTCAGTCAGTTTAAATAAAACTGACTTACTCTATTTTATATAGATTATAGAAAGAAAAAAGAATTACCGCAGACATATATTCTTTATCCTCTCCGAAGAACGGATAATATTACTGTTGGCACATACATGAGCATGTCTGTACTGCCCCCCAGTGGTAAAGTCGCACACACCAGAAGGAGCAGCTTCATGGCAATTGGATTGAAAACCGTTAAAATCTTGACAATTTATTTATTATTGTGATTACTGTATCTTTTCAAAAAATAAAATACTCTATTTTTTTCCTCAGAAAAACAGAAACTGGAGGGATGGATGAAAAACACCTGCAGGCTCTTGATTTTTATTTTTTCAAAATAATCAACCAAAAACATGTCACCTGTAATGAATACCATTTGTGCTTCAGAAAACACACACGAAACAAATCCTGTTTGGCAACTCGGATTTAATATGACCTACCGGGGAGCCGACTTATAATTAGAGGTTGTTTGATGTTTTCTATCTGTTCGTTTGTGACTAATGTTTTTGGATGGATCGACGGGCGCTGCATCGTTAACGCGTTGAGGGTGAATTGACATAATTGAGCCCAAAGTGGGACCCCACGTGGACTTTTTTGAATTGTTTTCAGACCAATGATTCTTCTACTGCAGTGGTTCTTGAACTTTTTACACCTCGTACCACGTCACAAAATACTGTAATTAGTGCCACCATCATGATCAACATTAATATCATCACTTTATATGTTCAAAGTAAACAATTCCCGTTTTATCCAAACCAACAACTTATCTACAATATCTATAATATACATCAATAATTCCCAAAGATGTACCTGAACAAACGTCGTTTTCTGTTACCCTAAAAAGCAGGATTGAAGAGGATTTCACATTTTAAACAACTTCAGCAAAAACTAGGCGGGCCTTTAAGTACTTCCTGTTCATTAGGCTTCTTTCAATGAAATATTGCGTCGCCGTCTAGCGGCCAACAGTGGAATTACATGCAAAACGGAACGGAAGGCAAAACAAAATACTTCTAAAACATTTCTCAATATTAATAGATTTCCCCCTTGTGGAAAAAAAAACAAAATGACAATGACATCAAAACATTTTTTTTAAGTACTTCCTGTTCATTAGGCTTCTTTCAATGAAATATTGCGTCGCCGTCTAGCGGCCAACAGTGGAATTACATGCAAAACGGAACGGAAGGCAAAACAAAATACTTCTAAAACATTTCTCAATATTAATAGATTTCCCCCTTGTGGAAAAAAAAACAAAATGACAATGACATCAAAACATTTTTTTTTGTTCTTGTTTTTGTCTTATTTTTTTCTTTAATGCAGGACACACGAAGTATTATGATCTTGTTTAGGCAACCCTATCAGAACATTT